CCATGGTCCATGGAATAATGATTGTCTTGGGCTTCAGTTAAGTTTCTAAGATAGATCTCAAACTTTGGTTGCCCAAATGAAGCAAATTATACCAGGTGCATGCGTTCTAAAAGTTTATATGTATTATGTTAAGAATTTATATATATTATGTTTTATATTAGATTATGTGTATTATGTTAGGAGTTTGTGTATTCTACTATAAAATTATGCACATAGAAAATAATATATTTTAAAGGTGCATAATGCATTGTGCACCGGTGCACGATATAACAATTGCCAAAATGAATCTTGGGCTTCGGTTTGTTGACAGCTACATACAGCCAATAGAATCCTCGAATAATAGATGTGCATGAAGCAATCCGATACGGTAAAAGAGGTAACATGTATAAATGTACTTTTAGGAATCCGATACGGTCGAAAAGGTACCATACTTCTTGCAATTAGGGTGAAACAATAATAACTGTGTACATAAAGCACAAGCGCCCAAGACCTAAACATTACCACAATAGAAATTAACAACTAGAGAAAGGAATCCACATTACAAGTCAAATTTCAAAGCATGGAAGCCTAGGTACAAACATAACGATGTACAATCAGTGATGGGGATATGGGACCCGGGGGTCCATTTTATTGGCATAGTATTAACTCAAGTGGGGTGGTGAAGATAGGAGATTGACTCAAGTTCTATTGGGCTTAGAAGACAAGGGGCATGGTGGCCCAAAAAGGAGGAGAGAGAAAGGATTTCCGGAGCACAACCGTCGGCGAGGTAGCACACGCCCCATCATGCGAAAGGGTCTACTACCAGTGAGGGTCAAACACGAGACTTCCTGCACAGCAGGCACACGTCTAACCACCAACCCACGTCAACCATTATATATTGAGGCGCATCAAATATATATGAGCGGTATTTGTGGGCGGGCAGCCTCCACCACCAGTCGGCAACTGGCCGGCGGGACCACCACAGGCCGAGGCGCGGCCAGCGGGGGCGGTGCGCCCCCGAGCTTGTCAACGGCACCCCCTCCCCTTCCCGAGGGGGTGCTGGGCAGTGAGCGTCGCGGGGATCGCGTGGTGCGGACGGTAAGGTTTGGCGCTACAGCGAACGTGCCCGCGTGTGTAGCGATAAATGGGTGAGTAGCGAGGGATTACGTGGGACACGTGGACGCCAAGAGAGGAGAGGGGTATGCTATAAATAGGGGTCCTGGATCCTTAGTAAGGGGCAGCTCAGACACGACAGACACCCTGGTATAGTGGTCTTGATCTCATACTCTCAATCCAGTCACCTGGGTTCGATTCCTATCAGTAGCATAATCAGCTATAGCCCATCCTGTGGGCCTTGTTCTTTGTATTTGGGCCGCCATTCTGGGCATGTACCTCGGGCTTTTGTACGCATTGTTCTGGGCCTAGCGCCCTACCCCCGTTCTGTATTTCCATACCCGGTTTATGGTGGACCCGGTCCCAATAAAACCATCATTGGCACCGTTTGTGGGGACCGAAACGATTAGCCAGTGTTTGTAGTCTCCATCGCCCAAGCAAGATTCCGAGGTACGCCGAAATGGCTGACTCGCAAGGAGGGTACTGACTCGCAAGGAGAGCATTTACCCTTTCAACCACGTAGTGGGGGTGGACGAAACACCGGCCGCGGTGTGACGGAGGCGCCCGCCCCACTTCGTGCCGGAGGAGGAAGACAAGAGGACGAACGAGGCAACGTTATCCACCCGGCGCCCGCCCCACTTCGTGCCGGGGGAGGAAGACAAGAGGACGAACGAGGCAACGTTATCCACCCTGGGCAGCCTCCGCTAGGCCCAAGGTCTGATCCCCTGGGAAACAGGAGGAGGGCACTCGTGATGCCACGTGGTCAAGGGTCGTGGAGGGGTGACGCCCGCGAGGGAAGTCTGGAAGAAGCTGAAGGCGAGAGTGCATATCGCCCCCCGGTGGTGACAGCGCGGGTCAACCCCCCAGCGGATTGGTTGGACGCAATGAAGGCCAAGATAGATGAGTTGGTGCGGTGGAAAGAGTATGGTGCTAACGCCGTGGTACACAATATTTCACTCACCCCACCTTTCACCCCCAATATCATGAATGAACCCCTCCCCCCTAACTTTAAAGCCCCCAACATTCGGAGATATGACGGGACGGACGATCCCCAAGAGCACATCTTGACATACCAGGCGGCCATGATGCTCATGGGGTCGTCGGACGCCCTGATGTGTCACGCATTTTTCTCAACGCTGTCGGGAGGGGCGCAGCGATGGTTCACAAGCTTGAAGGGAAGCTCGTTAAATTCATTCCAGGACCTGGCCACTAGGTTTATCACCCATTTCATGAGGGGAAAAAGGCGCAGGAAGCACTTCACGCACCTTGCCAGCATCAAGCAAGGAAGTGATGAAACTCTTACTGAATTCATCTCGCAGTGGAGGAAAGAAGAGGCCGAGGTCGAAGGTATGGATGGCGGATCGGCGATGGATATGTTCGTTGCGGCGCTCCGCGCCTAAGACTTATACAAGAGCTTGCGGCGCAAAACCCCGAGGTCATACTCAGCATTGATGACGAAAGCAGATCGGTATGCCGAGGCGGAGGAGGCTAATCGCCTAAAGTATCTAGAGGAGGATGAGGGTGGTAAGAGGCCACGACTCGAAGGGCCGCCAAAAACCTAAGAGAGGAGCTAGCCCCCCCGTCCGGAGGCTTAGATGGAATAATAAGGTAGCTTGCATAGTTTTACCGCTTTACGTTACATCATGCGAATAATAACATCAGTACTCTTTTCCGAAACATGCGCTCTTATGCGCTCTGCATGCTTGGCCCACGGCCACCTCAACTATGTGCTCCTATGTGCTATGCATGCTGGCCCTCCGGCCATGGCGGATGGGCCATGTGGGTTATCGCAACCCACATGCGCGGACTTGCCCCCGGCAAGCCGCATGATGTTGGCGGATGGGGCGTGTGGGTTATCGCAATTCGCAACCCACATGCGCGGACTTGCCCCCAGCAAGCCGCATGGTGTTGGCGGATGGGGCGTGTGGGTTATCGAAACCCACGTGCGCGGACTTGCTCCCGGCAAGTCGCATGGTGTTGGCGGATGGGGCATGTGGGTTATCGCAACCCACATACGCGGACTTGCCCCCGGCAAGCCGCATGGTGTTGGCGGATGGGGCGTGTGGGTTATCGCAACCCACATGCGCGGACTTGCCCTCGGCAAGCCGCATGGTGTTGGCGGATGGGGCGTGTAGGTTATCGCAACCCACGTGCGGACTTGCCCCCGGCAAGCCGCATGGTGTTGGCGGATGGGGCGTGTGGGTTATCGCAACCCACGTGCGCGGACTTGCCCCCGGCAAGCCGCACGGTGTTGATGGATGGGGCGTGTGGGTTATCACAACCCACATGCGCGGACTTGCCCCCGGCAAGCCGCACGGTGTTGGCGGATGGGGCGTGTAGGTTATCGCAACCCACATGCGCGGACTTGCCCCCGGCAAGCCGCATGGTGTTGGCGGATGGGGCGTGTGGGTCATCGAAACCCACATGCGCCGACTTGCCTCCGATGAGCCGCATGGTGTTAGCAGACAGGGCGTCTGGGTTATCGCAACCCACATGCGCGGACTTGCCCCTGGCAAGCCGCATGGTTTTGATGGAGGGGACGTGCAGGCATCGCATCCCGCACTGCGCCATCCTACAATCATCAGTTATATTTAAAAAAAAAAAAAAAAAAAAAAAAAAGGTCACATGCAGGTGCAGCATGGAGGAATTAACAAATGCAGGACAAAGCAGTAAGGGAGAACCGTGTAAAACAACAAAATATTCAAAAGGAGTCGGGTCGTGAATAGCAAGGAAGATATCCAATGCAAGAAGTGTGTCCAGCAAACCAGATCCTGAAGGTGAGGTGATGAAGCAAGTAAGAGATCGATGGTCGTTAGGGTCGTGCGGTAACGACGCGCGGTAATGGCATGACGCGTGGCAATCGCGGGGATGGCAGGTGGTAGCGATGCACGAGGGTGGCACGAACCGACAAATATCTAGAAAATTCGGAACTAGAATTTGAGTTGGGGAAAGAGAGGATGTGGTGATACTGAATTCTACTTCCTTTAGGCATCAAGATACCTAAAAGAAGTGGGGGACTTGTGATGGGGATATGGGACCCGGGGGTCCATTTTATTAGCATAGTATTGACCCAAGTGGGGGTGGTGAAGATAGGAGATTGGACCAAGTCCTATTGGGCTAAGAAGACAAGGGGGCGTGGTGGCCCAAAAAGGAGAGAGAGAGGATTTCCGGGGCACAACCACCGGCGGGGTAGCCAGCCCCATCATGGAAAAGGGTCTGCTACCAATGAGGGTCGAACACGAGACTTCCCACACAATAAGCACACGTCTAACAACCAACCCACATCAACCATTATGTATTAAGACGCGGCAAATATATATGAGCGGTATTCGCGGGCGGGCAACCTCCACCACCGGCCAGCGACTGGCTGGCGCCGGGTCCCGCCAGCCACCTCAGGCCAAGGCGCGGCCAGCGGGGGCGGTGCGCCCCCGACCTTGTCAACGGCACCCCCCCCCCCCCTTCCCGAGGGGGTGCTGGTAGGGGTGGGCAATTTTCGGGTCTGACCCGTTTTTTCACGGATTCGATCCGTTTAAACCCGAAACGGGTCGAATCCATATTGAAACGGGTCCAACCCGAATCTGGGCTGCAGTGGTTTCTAAAATACGGTTCGGATTTTGGGTTCATTAGGTTTTAATCGAATCTGACCCGAAACCCGAGCCACTATATAAACGAACTAGGGTTTCCAGAATATTCACACATCTCTTTCACTCTTAACCCTCAGGTCTCCCGCCTCAGCAAGTCTGCGCCTCTAACCCTCTTCCACTCTCCGCATCTCTCAATCTCTCATTCGACTTTCACCGGTCACCCTCTCTCAGTCTCTCACTCTCCGTTGTCTACCCCTCACTCAGTTACTCTCCCACTCTCACCGGCTCACCCCCTCGCTTGATCTTCTGATAAACGATGTAACAATGAAAGATTAAAGCAGTGAAGCTTCAGATCTCCACTCAAACTATTAAAAGCCGCCGGTCTCCACTCTCGACTTAGACTGTTCAAGCCTTCAAGAGTTTCCGGTCTCCGGTGACTGGTAAGCTTCGCATCCTCTCTTTACTTCTTTAGTCACCATAAAAATCTATATCTAAGATCTCATTCGATCTTCTGATCTTCTGATAAACGATTCTCTAATTTTAATTTTTTTGTACTTTGGAGTTTTTTCAGTGACTCAAAGTTCATAAACCCTAGGCCGTAAGGGACTGAGCTCTCACTCAAATACTCAAGAACTAGGCCGAAAGAAAGGTAACCTCCTCTCTGGCAGTCTGGCAGTTTTGATTGCTTACTTTTTTTTTTTTTCTATATCAGCAAATTTGTTTGTGCCCAGAAATTTGTTTAATGTTTCTTTGAAAATTTTTAATATTCCTTTAGGGCATTAAAATTATCATTATAGTTTGCCCAGAAAATTTGTTTGTGTATGTTAGTATGTTATTTTATATTTTATTTTATGTGCTTTTTAGTGCCCAGAAACTATAGTGTTATACACTGTTCAGAAAATTTGTTTATATTTGTTTGTGGCTTTGTACTTGCTTTATGAAGAAAGAGGTAAGTAAAATTAATTGTGAATTGTATGTGTATATAGTATATATGTGTCAAAATGTGATTATATGTGAATATAGTGATAAAGTCTTGAATTTAGTTTATTTTGTGAATTTATACTCTTGAATTTATATTGTCATATCTTATGGTGAATTGAACATACTGTGAATTTTATAATTTAAAGTAAACTAAAACAGAAAATTTGTTTTTTGTTTTTTTTTTTTCTATATCAGAAAATTTGTTTATACACTGCCCAAAAAATTTATTTTTTTTTTTTCTATATCAGAAAATTTGTTTATGTGCCCAGAAAATTTTTTAATGTTTCTTTGAAATTTTTTAATATTCCTTTAGGGTTTTAAAATTATCACATATGGCTGAACCTAATGAAGTAGTTGAACAAATTGGTTTAGAAACAGCTGATCCACAAATAGAACCTGTTAGAACTACACAGAAATCCAAAAAAAAAGGAAAGAAATGAAAGATAGATCAGATGTTTGGGCTCATTTTAAAAAAAAAATCAATGATAAGGGCGATTTGGTGAAAGCTAAATGTATCTATTGTAAGAGGGTGTGGGTAGCAGAGCCGAAAAAACATGGAACAACCAATCTTAAAAATCACATGGTAACCTGCAAACAGAACCCTAACATAAAAAATCCAGGTCAAACTCAATTCTAAATTAACAAGCTCCTTGTAAATGATAAGGGTGAATCTGTTTTAGGTCAACCAAGTAATTGGAGATTTGATCACTGCATTGCAAGAACATCAATAGGTTCAATGATAATAACAGATGAAATGCCATTTAGTGTGGTTGAGAAATCTGGTTTCAAGACCTTTGTTAGTACTTGCTTACCACCAACATTTGCGCTGCCATCTAGGAGAACAATAACTAGAGATTGCTTGCAAATTTATGCTGACACAAAAGATGATATGAAGAGCATAATCAAGCAAAGTAAACAAAGAGTCTCTCTTACAACTGATACATGGACATCTAATCAAAGAATTTCATATATGTGTATAACAGCACATTGGATAAATGAACTGTGGGGTTTGCAAAAATGTGTGTTAAATTTTACTCCCATTGAATCTCATAGAGGTGCTGATATTGCTGAAGCAATTGAGAAATGCCTTATTGAATGGGGGATTGACAAACTATTCTGTATTACATTAGACAATGCTAGTGCTAATGATACTGCAATTAGATCTTTAAAAGCTGTATTAAAGAATTGGGGTACTAGCATTTGTGATTCTGAACACTTGCATATGAGGTGTGTTGCCCACATACTGAATTTAGTAGTTCAAGAGGGCTTAAAAGACATATCTAAGTTTGTGAATGCTATTAGAGCTGCAATTAGATATGTTAGGCAATCCCCCGCTAGGTTGAAAAAGTTTAAGGACTATGCTGAGAGGGAGAAAATTGAATGTAAAAGAGCTCTTTGTTTAGATGTGCCAACTAGGTGGAATAGCACTTATATGATGCTAGATGTTGCAGAAAAATTTAAGAGGGCTTTTGAGAGGTATGAGAGGCAAGATCCTCAGTTTGAAAAGGAATTGAAAGCTGGATCATTTAATGTACCAACTGAAAATGATTGGAAAGTTGTGAGAAAAATGGTCAAGTTTTTAAAATTCTTCTATGAAATGACAGTTAGGGTTTCAGGGTGTTCATATGTTACCGCTAATACATTTCTACCTTAAATAAGTGCAATTGATAATATCTTGAAAGAGTGGAAATGTTGTGATGATATTGAACTCAGTTTGATGGCAGAAAGAATGATAACAAAATTTGAAAAGTATTGGGGACAGCCTGAACAGATGAACAAACTGATTTTCATAGCAGTAATTCTTGATCCAACAAAGAAGTTAGGGTTCCTTACATTTGTGTTAAGAGAAATGCATGGGGAAAAGGATGGAAAAAAAGTTGGAAGACATGATCAAAGATGCAACTTACAAACTGTTTAATCAGTACAAAAGTTGGCATCAGCCATCTCATGTTCTAAAATCTGGTTCTGAAAATTTGGGTTCAATTTCTTACGCTGCAACTGTTGAAACTAGTGATTTGGGTAGTCAAGGCGTTGCATCTGTAATGAGCAGATTTAAAATATTCAAAAGCCAATCTGGTTCTATAATTGAAAAAACAGAATTAGACACATATTTGGGGGAAGATATAGAAGATGAACAATCTTTTAATATTCTTCATTGGTGGAAGGTTAATCAACCTAGATTTCCTATATTGGCTGAAATGGCACGAGATGTTCTAGTTGTCCCAATTTCTTCAGTTGCCTCTGAATCTACCTTTAGCACTGGTGGAAGGGTGCTAGATGACTTCCGAAGTAGCTTAACACCAAAAATGGTGGAAGCACTCGTCTGTGCCCAAGATTGGATTGGAGTTGACAAAAAATCAGTTCTTGTTGAGGAAGATTGCAATATTCTTGAGAACATAGAAAGAGGTAATAATATATTTTATTCCTTCTTAACTTCATATACATTATTTGTGAGTTAATTTCTTACGCATCTATTTGTATTTTATGTCATAGATGTGGTTGCTAAGGACTTGGAATTAAATATTGGTGATAAGTAACATGGATGCAAGTTGCCAGATTTTTGTTTTTTAATCTATATATTATATCTAATGGTTTTTTTTTGGAGGTTATGATTTTGTTGCAATGCTAGTCTCTTGGAAGATGTAATAGTATATTAACAAACTGTGTATTTTTGTGATCCCGTTGGTAACACTGTAACAATGTGTTTTTGGTAAGTGTCTACACTTCAAAGTTTACATTTTTTCTAATTTTTATTTTAACTGTTAGCACATTTATAAATTTAATGGTTAATTGTTAATAGATTTTTTGTTTGTTTTGAGCATGTTTTTGGGAAGCTAAGCAGCTAACAGTGGAATTTTGTAACTTGTTGGACCTCTGAAATTGCCTATTTGCAGCTGGTAAGTGATAGCTAACAATGCTATTTTTTTTTTTTTTGGTAACTATGAAGAATGTGAGTTTCCAAGAGGTGTTGATGTCTGTGTGGTTTATAAGTACATACTTTCTGAGTTTTTGCTATATGCCTTCTGAGTTACATGCTTTCATAGTTGTTGTTTGTAATAGTTTTTATGTATGCTGCTATGATACTTTTATCATATCCTGCTTAGATTTTTAATTAAGAATGCATATTTGAATTGGTAATGGGATATGCTCAATCCTTGTCTTTTTGATAGTCTAATGTTTTTGTTTATTGACAGCTATATCATTACCCAAGTAACTTTCATTCATTATTTAAACTTTGTCTGTGATTTTTATCTGAAAAATAAAACTTTAAATTCTATATCAATTCTGTTGTTGTTATTATTTTTATTATATTATTATTATGTTATTGTTGATGTTGTTTTGTTGTAGGTTCTAATTAGCAGAATGAATAGCATGCCACTGGTGAAGGTCAAGCACTCAAGCATCACTAGATCAATATTTGCTTATTTGAATGGGATGAAACTAAATCCAGAAAATGAACACTTAGCATTTCCCTCATCATATTTTATTATGTTGTATTTAGTTTTTGCTTTTTGGTGGTTGTAATTAAGTATATTAGCAAATTGGCTTTTGGGTTTTCATATTGTAATTATTGTTCTGCTTGTTTTTTTATTTTGTTTTTGATATTTGGATTTAGAATTTTGGTTTGCTGTTTGCTTCCATAATTTTTTTGCTCAAAAATTGATTTTTGCAAATTTTTTTGAACAATGATACATTTTCGGGTCTGTTGCACCCGATCCGACCCGAACCTTACCCGAAGCACCCGAACCCGAAAAAAAATCCGAAATATTCGGTTCGATTTTCGGACTATAACAGAGGGAACCTGAAAATGCTCGGGTGATTCTAATTGGCAAGGGTCGAACCCGAACCCGACCCGTGCCCACCCCTAGGTGCTGGGCAGTGAGCGTCGCGGGGATCGCGTGGTGCGGACGGTAAGGTTTGGCGCTACAGCGAACGTGCCCGCGTGTGTAGCGATAAATGGGGGTGTGGCGAGGGATTACAGGGGACACGTGGACGCCAAGGGAGGAGAGGGGTATGCTATAAATAAGGGTCCTGGATCCTTAGCAAGGGGTAGCTCAAACACGACAGACACCCTGGTCTAGTGGTCTTGATCTCATACTCTCAATCCAGTCACCTGGGTTTGATTCCTATCAGTAGCATAGTCAGCTATAGCCCATCCTGTGGGCCTTGTTCTTTGTATTTGGGCCGCCATTCTGGGCCTGTACCTCGGGCTTTTGTACGCATTGTTTTAGGCCTAGCGCCCTACCCCCGTTCTGTGTTTCTATACCCGGTTTATGGTGGACCCGGTCCCAATAAAACCATCAATCAGAATTAAGAAGACATAACAACGAAACAAAGGATCCACATTACAAATATCGTGAAACAACTATTTGCTATAAAAATAAGTAAGGTGCTTGGAATTTCAAATTTGGTCGATGTGTTTTCCCGTCATTGTCTAAAGTTTCTACGTACTTGACCGAATAACGGCCAAAATCACATACGAGTCTTCCCAATTCTAAGCCAATTTGCCATTGCACCTTCTAATGGTTTGCTCACTTCCCAAGGACGTAAGATGTAATCTCCAACTTAAAAATACCGTGATCGCACTCGAGCATCATAGTACGCCTTAATCTTCTATTGGTAATCTACTATTCTTTTCGCCGCCCTCGTTTCTCTTCTAAAAGGTCCAAATCAATTGCCATTAGTTGCTTATTCTCATGTGGGTCATATTGTTTTTCCTTGGTTGTTGGAAACCATATTTCCACTTGTAATCGGGCCTCAACACCATACACCAGCGAGAACGGGATTTCCTTACTCACTTCTCAAAGGGTCGTACGGTACACCTATAAGATGTACTGTAACTCCACATCCTAGCTCTACTCATCGCTCCTCAATTTCTTCTTTAGCCCTTTAAATAGCGTTCTGCTCACATTTTCAACTTGGTAGTTACCTTGAGGATATGCTACTAACGCTTAGGTCACCTTTGTACCAATATTTGCCTAGCAATTGCTCACACTATTGAGACGTCATTGTTAGGGCTTCACTTCGATCCACTTAGAAAAGTAATATATCGCTATAATGCTTAACTTCCTCCAACTGGAAACTTTCGAGAACGATACTATTTTGTCTTAACCCCTACCGAGCAAACTGTATAGTATTACTTACTGATTGATAGTATGTCACTAGTATACCGCACCAATTTTATAATGTAAATTATTGTTGTGGATCTTATGACTTGCAATGTTAAAGTTTTTCTAATGTTAAAGAAATTGGAACATCTCATCAATATAATGGACTGCCTCAACTAATTAATAACAAGGTGTCCACATGACTTGATGGGTACAAATCCTTATGGAAGGACTTTCAAAACTTAAGAATATTTTGATTTTCTAATGTCCCAAATGCACAAGTATGACTTGTAGCCTTTACCATAAACGAAAACTCAAAAAAGGCATGTAGATAATATCAAGGGTTAAAAGTCAACCCTTTATCAGGCACATGAAATCAAATTTAAGAGTAAGAAACAAATCTACAGTAATTTAAAAATAAAAAAATAAAAAACCCTAAATTACGTATTTCCCCATCAACACTCATTAAAGAAATTGGAACATTTCATCAATGGACAACCTCAGCTAATTCATAACAAGATGTCCACATGACTTGACGGTACAGATCCTTATGGAAGGACTTTCAAAACTTTAAAATATTTTTATTTCTATATTGTCCCAAATGCACAAGTCTGACTAACAGCCTTTAATATGAAAAAAAAAAAAAAAAAAAAAACCTAGATAATATCAAGAGGCACCTGGAATCAGATTTGAGGGTAAGAAACAAATCTGTACTACAGTTTGTATTAAAATCTCTATAGTATAAGGGAAATAGAAATCTGTTACAAACTAGAACACATAGGTTGACCTAAAACTGGTGTATGCAGTGACATCCATCCAATTCGGAAAAAGTCCTTTCAACTTCAATTGTTGTTCTGTTAGATGCTGCTCGATTACACCCACTTCAACCCTTATGTTTCCTGAGCTACTTGCCTAAACATTAGAAAAATGTAAGAAATTGGAAATTAAAGAAAAAATAAACTTCAAATAGGGTAGAGCTTTTATAACAAGACAAGATATTCTTAAAAGTGGAAACAAGGGAATGAAAATGTGTGGTATAGATTCAAATCCAGGCATCCGGCCTTGCCGCTGCATATTTCTCTAACTACAATGATAAATACACACACAAACACATACATATCTATGGACAGTTTCGGGAAAGAGTAAATGAGAAAACAAATTTCTTTACCCTGGAGTTCTCTAATCAAATTCTAACAATGTGGATTGGCTTTCTGCTTGTGGATTATTATCTCCACAGTTTTATAATTTAATTGAAGAACTTCAAAGAAAATACAACCAAGTCTTAAAAAATTATGAGGAAAGAAAACACAGAAAACAGATGTTGACGAGTGTTCAGTATTGTACGTAACAATAACATGTTCACAATGAATTATGTTATTTGCGTATTTTGAGAAATTTTAATTTAGGAAGTAAATCTGAATGAGGAAACAATAGAAAACATCCTTGATCCTTCCAAAGTTGTAATCGTAGGGGGAAAGAATACTACTCTATGAACACTGAACAGAAAAACAAGACATTAAAGGTATTATTACCTCCAACCAGAATGTCCAATTTTCACTACTTGCACCGCTCAATCTACATATATATGAAGGGGGACCATTACCATCCCTTTCAGGAGCTGAAAACAATTCCATGAGGATTAAAAAACAGCAAGAAGAAAAAACAAAGCACCCCCCATTCACAGCTAAAGAGGGAAAAATATTTCACCTGGAAGTTTGTTATTTGCAAAAGACCAACTGGATAATGGACCTGTGATATTAAAAACTGAAACCCAGACTTCCTTCAAGGAACTATAAACACAACAAAAAAAAATCAAGATTTATAAACATATACCTGAGAGAGTAAGAGAACATACTAATATGTTTAAGGGAACACACTACAAAATTAAATATAAATTGCCAACATATACAGTAAAACATCTATTATGAGGTCCTCTATACTTGTAATATAACACAACACTGACATCTAGCTAGTAGTACCAGTAATATCTTGAGACAATTTGCAGCATCAGAAGTTCAGAACCACACATTTAGTACATTCAATAAATAACTAAATGTAATAATGGAGCAGTGGGAATGTAAAAATTTCCACAAGAACACAACTCCAGAGCAGAATCAAGTTATATGCTGCAAACAATAACTGAATCTGGCAACTCAATTTAGGACTGAAAGAAATTCTCACTGAAAATGTAAGCATGAAATGAAATCCAATGGTCAACATTTACCCCAAGGAGAACTCCAAGTAAATTCTACGAGTGCCACCACCAAGAAGCTTCTGAGGCTTGTGAGCAAATAAATGTGGAAAGCTTTTGTACTGATTCAGGATGAAATCAGGCTTTGTAGGGAACTTAAAACTTGTTGAAAAGAGGAAAGATACTGGGAAAATTCCCTACAAAGAAACAATCATAGGATCACATATCTGCACTACAATAAACTCTAGAGGAAGAAATAATGCAATGCAATGCAATATTGTTTGTCTGGCTCATATAACGAGGCTGGACTCAAGTTATTTACAATTCAATTTTGCGTAATACTTAATTTAATATTCGTATATAAATTTATATATTTATAAACTACATTAAAAGTACTATCACACACAAAAATCAAAATTCAAAAATCATGAAAAACATTAAACAAAATAAGCAAAGAAGAATGAATTTGGTTGACCAATGAATAGTACAGATAGGTAAAATGGGGAAAAGGGAGTACCCTTTTAACTTTGTAAATTGATTTGACTACGCATGTCCATTTGGGAAGGGAAAATTTGACAATAATATCAAATCTTATTTGTTTCCTTAAAAACCATGTCACACACAATTACCCATTACAAAATGGGACAGTGGGAGTAAGCTCTAAAAGTAATTCATGCTGTATGTGTGCAAATAAGATTTTTTTAAAATTATTGAAGTGTAAAGTGAAATGTGTACTTGTATCGCTAAAGATGCATGGCCTCAGTTTGGAGCTAAACTAGAGTGTAGCAATAACATAAACATTAAGAAACAAGACAAGATTGATTAATTACTGTAGTTTCTGATTGATGCAAACTAATGCAACTCATCTATAGATGTAACAGAGGAGATATGAGGAAGCAAAAAAGGGCTATAAAACTTCTAATTAATTACCATCCAGTCATCTGGGTGAGACTTATCAACACTATGAAAAGATAATTCTGTATTAGTCCCCAGTTCATTTGCCAATTCAGGTGCATGCTTGAAGACAAAAAACATAGAGTTGGAATCAATTGCAGCAAAATCATAGCTGGCACTCATAATTTGACTGGAATCTGTCAGAAAATGATAAAGTTTTATTAGAAAAGATATTAACCGACAGATCATTAAACTATGCAAACAATTGCAGAGTACAATCTTGCATAACTATTGTGTAATAAAAGCAATGCATTAGTGCTACATGAAATCATGTAGTACCAATTGAAGCTTCCTATATAAAAATCCCAGAGTACAAATTGTTGTGTGATTAAAGCACTGCAGTATGCAGTACTGGTTGAAACTCAGCATTTTCACCAGTACTTCTACAAAGTTTCTTCTCCAGTTTAAAAGTTTATGCTTACAAGATGTAAATGTGGGCCAAAAAGGAGAAGGAAAAGAAAACCACAACAGCCCCCACCAATAAAAAGCCCTGATATAACATTTTTGTATTCACCATGGACACAGCATTTTATCCAGTTTCTGTTTCAGGAAGCTGCAAAGAATTTCATTATTGAAAATGACAAGGCAACAAATCCATTATATTAGTCTTTTCTACATTTTTGTCCAATTCAAGGAACTAGGCAAGAAAATCATACCTACTCGCACCTACGAACAAGCTTACATGTCTAACAAAGGAATAATTTGTGAATATCAATCATACAAACTGTTAACTAAATATTCCTTTTCATTATTATTATTTTTATTGATGAGGGTAGTTTAGAGCCATCAAGAAGAAGCACTAGTTCAAAATACCTGCATTCCAAATTGTATGTTGAAAAACAACTCTTTTAGGCGCCTCAGTGCTGTATGGAAAGACCAGTGATGCCACAGCCATTGTAATGATACCAATGTGCAGCAGGACCTGCATTATGGATTTCCTGGCTAAGTGTTGGCCAACAACAGGTATAAGAGGCCCAATACACCAACCACTTATAACCCCAATTGTAGCTGCGACTATCACATCTGGAATAAAATAACCTGCAAGCATTTGGCATTCTAAATTTAGACAATGCTGAAAATTGACTTAGCAAAACCCAAATTCCTTTTAATTTTGTACTATAGACACATTAAAGGGGAGCGTAACGAATTCATTGTAGAATAGGCTGGTAAAACTAACCATACAGATAAGATGGATGAGAGCCAGACATGCCCATTTTCTCAATCAGAAAAATAGCCAGAAACCCACCAAAGTAAGCCGCATACATCACGCAAGGTATTGCAGGGATTACATAAGATGCAGTTGACCTGGCATAAAACTACTTTTGATTAAAAAAAAAATCTAAACACAAAGCCAACAGGTATTATTCACTCTTTGGGAGTAGAAGAGCAGTTTTAGCCAGAAATGGAATGGCCTGTCTGGTGAGTATGAATGAATAACATGTCTAAGGAGAATGCATTTAATTTTATACACAATAAGATGGCATAGCAAGCTTTAGACAAAGTGGGAGAGAGACAGAAAGGGCATTTGCCTCAGAATGAATAATGGCTGGAAATTAATGTAGATACTCTTTTAAGTTTCTACCTGAGTGATTCATGACCAAAATCCTTGTTACAAAGGCAGAAGGAAATCCAAGCAAGAATCATGAAAACTAAAATAAGAAAAGTCAAGAAGCCTCCATTCAGTCCAGCTGCAAGGTATGCCTGCTTACAGAAAGTCACTTAGCCATCTTTTCTCTAGATGCATACAAAAGTATATACTTACTAATTTGGAGGTAGCAAAACAAAACAATGACAAAGAAGACTGACTACACGTAAGATAATTATCACTCTTTCTTTAGCTTAAAGGAGTACCATCACGCACCAATGTCACTATGGAGTAAAATCCAAAAGCCCCCCAAAATCTAGCTTCAGTAACCAATTCCTGCAGAAAACCATGTCAGACAATAAGCCAAGTAACCAAAGCTGTATAATGATGTGTGTGATCCACTTCAACCAAAAGCTTAAACTATTAGTGAGTATATACATTTATCATTTTAAATTTACCCTCAACAAAATAATGCATTATAGACAAGCAAGTTACCAAATTTAAAAAGAATGACAGTAATCTACAGCTGAAAAGTAACAATGTACCTGATTTGATAATCCAAGAAGAGAGAGATTTTGAGATAGAGGAAAATGTCCCCAAGCAAATCTTGGAATCAACAAACCAATAAGAGAGAAAGGTACGAACATTCCAAATGCCAGATATGGATTTGCATACCTACATTTATAAAAGAATAGAGACATTAAATCTTCCAAGTGCAAAATATTTTGCTGACTTTAAATCATAAGATAGGATATTAAAAGTGGTCTGATTAATTTAGAACCATTTAAATATAATCAAATGCTAATGTTTTAAGAGTATGAATGAGCAAAGGTCAAAAAAAAAAAAATCAAAGCAAAGATCAGGGTTAAAGACCACAGTAATTTTAAAAGTGCCTGATAAAAGTAAACCAGCAAGTATTAAACTAGTACCAGTTCATTGAAGTCCCAGAAAATAATAATCTCATGACAGCAAAAATAATAGGAACCACAATTGCAAGAACAAGTCCAACAGCATGATATAGCAATCCTGCACAATGGAAAATGACTACTTCACACAGTAGAAGAAAGCAAATTGTGCGAGGAACGTTCCAATCAAATAAAATAATTCTTGATTCAAGAATGGCCATTACCTTTAATATAATCAAAAAGGGTAGCAAAAGAACAGGTCAATCCCCAAGTCCGAAAACGTAAGAGAAGCGGCATAAAAAGAAAGATAGCAAGAGGAACACTATAAAGCAGGATGGCAGCTTTTCTTGTGTAGAATATCTGAATCATTTAAAAATATTCAAAAACAAATGGATGTCAATTCGGCCACAGTTAATCTCTGACTCTATAGAGTAAAACGGAAGGGAAAAAATATATAGAAGTAAAAAAAATTAGAGATATGTGCCTTACCAAGAACCAAGAGAAAAAATCGAAGAAAACTGCACGCTCATCAACTAATCCATGTTGAGAAGCTGTATGCAATTTTCGTTCATGTGCATTCCGAAGTTCAGAGGAGTTGGTGAATGCTCTTATCAGACTGACCAAATTGTCCCCACGTGCTTGCAGGCTTCCAGGTCTGATTTACAAAATTGATGTATCAGATCAAATACAAGTAAACAAAGAAATATAAGAATTTCAATAAAGTGAAACTATACCAAAACACCAATTGTGATGCATACAATAGTCTTTCAACAGTATCAGAGGAGGTATGATAAAAACGACCCCCCAGGAGAAAGATAATATCCAATCCAGGAATATCGCCATAGTCTTGAGCAAACATTCTGTAATCTGTATCACCAGGAACAAAACCAAAAACATCCTGCAAAAACATTGGCAGAATATTTTGAGCAACACTAATTGGATTTTGTTGGGGAAAAAAAAAAAAAAAAAAAAAAAAAAACCCTAAAGCAGATCATGTTCTAGAAAATGGATTTAGTGAGGTAAATCCAAAACCTGAGCTGCACTATTTGCCATAGGATATAAAGCTGCCTGTGAATAAACTTGTGAAGGCCAAGTGCTAGGTCCAGATTGACACACTAAATCTGTTAAGTAGAAAATATGTAAACAATCAACATGCATTCCACTGTAAAGGAGAATGTAGCAAATATCAATGCGCAAGAAAATAAAATTTGAACTCTTTCTGATGCAGAATGCAAGAACAAGCATTAGAGCATAACTGCAAGTTTTCTTATATGGGGACAAATGGCAATAGCAAGCATATTATCAAAAGCTCTCTCTCTCTCTCTCTCTCTATATATATATATATATATATATATATATATATATATATATATATATATATATCCTCTATAGAGTGATTACACAACAAGCAGCTCTTAGATTAAAATTATGAAAATGAATAATAATAATAATAAGGCTTACATAAAAGGATTGGTTTCAATTTAAAAAATAGTTAGCATGTAAACAATGCCTAAAACACATGTAAAATAATAAACAATCAATTACCTACCAGACCCTCCTATTCCAGAAGCCTCAACATTTATGAATGCTCCAATTGTCTCACGCCATCTATGTGTTGTTATGAACCCATGTGAGCCCTGAAAATATAAAAATAAAAGAAACAAATAAATAAGATAACAGTAACCAAATTGGTTTGCATAGAAGCAGTATGACTATTGTTTTATAATACCATCACAAGATAACTTAAATCAATGTTGCAATACAATACCATGAAAATGTAGACAGATTATTATACTCAAGTTCCAGTGAAAACAATGAGTAGAGCACACTATAAACGAGATCCTATAATAATAATCTACCACGAGTATCAATAAAAGAACACCAGATAATCTAATTGTAAGTTGCAATATTACAGGTGGTATCAAGAACTACTTTTGTCAAATTAAAAAAAAAAAAAAAAAAAAAAAAACCGAGAGGGTTTTATTTTAATCATTATGGAAAATATTAAACTCTTAAAGAATTCTTAAGAGAAGGAACCCTTCTTTTGACAAGAAACTTTTCAAAGAATTCTTACCAGCATAAAGAGTTCTTCTGCACCATTGAATAGAAATATAACTGGTCTAGGAGGAATCCAACCAGAATCAATTGTAACCCTGGCTAATTCTAGTATCGAAGCTGGTAAAAGTAGAGAAAACACAATCAATATACAAATCACAGATTATTACACTCCAGTAAAAATGTAAAAGTGAAAAACCACCCCAAAACCTACCTACACATGAGCCACAATCACCAGCACCTGGAGAACCAGGTGTAGTATCAAAGTGGCCATTTACTAACACTGATGGGTCATTATCTCCTGATTGAACTGATGAGATTCTGTAACCCAATTCAAAATAGTTAAATGTCATATAGACAACACATTTTAAGGCTATTGTCTACAACTTAGTCTTAAAAGAAGAGGAAAAAAATAGCTTGTTGGTGTACCTCATAATAATATTAGTAAGGTTCCTATAAGTAAAAGAGATGCTGTAACCTAAAAAGATCATACTGAAAGAACCATTGACTGCGGTCTCTTCAATCTCCACTCTTCAACAATCAAAACATCAGTAAGTTAATGAATTAAAATATAGTGACTACGAACTTCAAAATGCTCAGCATCAATAAGCAAGCATAACATAATTATGTGTATCAACAAGGAAAAAGAAAATGAGAAACAACCTAACATTGCGTCCAGCTCTCTTCTTCAAGGTCTCCAACTCCGTTTTTATGTATTCCGCGGCTTGTCTCAAACCCGGAGTCCCTACCTACATTAATTAATTGTTTATAAAGCCAAGAAGCTGCGAAGTTATATATAACAAGGCATCACGAATGCAAAAACTTCAAACAATGTTTTTTTTTTCTTTCATCTCAAACTTAAGCTTCACAATCACATAAGAGATTTCATCTACATGCGCACGAAATTAAAAGCAGAGCTCTAAGAGCATACACATAGTCTAGAGAGCGTGTATAAATTGGAGATAGATATGATTTCTTACTTGTCGGCCGCCGATGTCTTTGGCTAAGACGCGGACGTGTTCGACGGCTCGGGCTTCGGAGAATCGGTCGAGGGAGGCATCCATGCCGAGAGGCGTGATGAACTTCATGTGGAGGACTGAGTAGGCTAGGAATGATACGAGTCCATAGAGGATTACCAGCGAGAAGAGAACCTTGAATCCGGCAACGTCGCCGGAGTTCAACGTCAAAGCCATTCCGTTAAAGCTCCTGCCTCCGATTTCACCGGTAGAAATCTGCTGGAACGGAGATCTCAGTCCGAAATCCGAAGAAAAGAGAGGGAGAGTGAGGAAGGTGGAGTAGAAGGGGCACTTATAGGAATTTAGAATACAAAGGGAATCAGCTCAAAATGACGTTCAAAACTTGCGCACTTTTGGCAGCTTATTGGGCCAAATTCTTTGTGTGGACTTGTATACCATAATATTATTATGTGTTAAAATAATGTACATTACGTATTAGAATATTGAAACATTTTGCGTAATATAATGTATACTATGTTTTAAAATAATGTACATTATGCTTTAGAATATTGTACATTATTGTTGCGACCACAGGAAACAACAATTTACCGTTGAATTATTTTATAATTAGTTTTATTATTTAATTAGAATAATTAAATTAATTAGGATAACTATTTTAGATTAATTTTGTTATGCTTATTTTATTATTTGTATTTATCTTCAGATTAATTTTGTATTTATCTATTTGTAGTTTGTTGGGATTTTAGTTATTTTGAGGATTATAGTCCTAAATTACTAAAACTCTACAACTATAGGGAGACAAGTTATGAATAAAATAGATTCGTGATGAATTTTTGAGAATGAAAACTGAGATGGTTTTCTAGAACTCGGGATGAGTTCGGTCATGAGTGATTTATGGCATTCCTGACTTATCAAGTGTGAAATCATACTTGTGGCGTCAAACCATTCTCATATCGCTCTATAACCGGGCGTGGGGCGAGAATCAATTCAAAAACCACAAAAACAACCCTTACCAAACCTAAATTAAACCTTCAAGTCAGATTTCACCTAGCCTAATAAACGTTTCTAAAATATTATTTTTTATTGGAATGTAAAGATCGGGCCAACCAGATTCGTATCAATTATATTTTAGAATAATGTACATTATGAGTTTAAAAAATGTAGGTTGCAAATGGGCGTACGAAAAAATAAAATTAAGCAAAATGACATGGTTTTTTTACCATGCTCCACACAGCTGTAAGTTTCCATACAAATTTAATTCTATTTTGCTCTGTAATATAATGGGCAAAATACAATGTTGTGGACCATAACAAAAAGTACATTTTAATATATTAAAAGTACATTATTCGTGTACTGAATGTACATTATATAAAAAAAAAATATACTTTCTCTGAATACAATGTACATTTTTAATATATTAAAAGTACATTATTTTTGTACTGAATGTACATTATTTGATAGTATGGTCCACATAAGAGTAAATATCAGCCAAGGTTCCTCGAGTTGAGTGGTTCTACAATCAATGGTCCTAAACTTTCGGTTTGGCCTTCGTCATCCTCCGAATTTCAAAATTGGCCTCCAACAATCTTTCCATTAAGTTTGTCCGTCTCAGCCGTGAAATCTTATGGCATAATAGTCTTTTTGTTTAATTCCCCCAAATACACAGTCTGTCTGCTCAACAAACTTAATCGATTTCCCTCAAAAAAAAAAAAATCATCACTCCCTCACTAAAAAAACCCATCACGAAAGTTTAGGGCGTTGGTACAGCTCTTCCACGCACGCCGGGTCGCAAACGACGTCTTCCCCGCCGTGAATGATCAGGAACGAGACTTCTACTTCTTCGAACCTCGCTTGCAAATCCCTACACACCCTCAATAGCTCAGGCACCGTCGCCGTTCGTCGCCTCGCCATGGTCCTAGTGGGGCTTGCTATCACTAGTTTCCGCTTCCATTCCTACTTCATCATTCGTACGTGACGGAAATTCAAAACCAAATTCGATGAGACTTGAAACTACTCTAAAACGGAATTTAATGGCGGAAAAGGAAATATCTTACGTTGAATGAGACGTCAGGTATGGAGCCGCGCATGGGGACCACTTGCCAAGTCGGGATTAAGTATGCCGCAATGTCAAGGAAATGTTCCAGCGGCCACGGCGGCTTGAACTTATCATTGATGCCGCACATGGCCCCGTTATAAATGACGCCGTCGAAGCACCGTTTCAGGGCAGAATCACAGTGGCGGAGGATTACAAGCAGAGCAATCGCACTGCCGAGAGACTCGGCATAGAGGAACGAAGGCAGCTCAGGCGGCACGTGGCGGTCACGGAACGAGTTGAAGAACGCTACGCAATCGTCGACGACGGGGTTGATGTCTGGTATGTGAGCCTTCAACCCCTCGATGTAGCCGTGGCCCTGATGGTCGATGGCACATACAGCGAACCCTTGCTTTGCGATGTGCACGACGGTGAGCTAGATGAGCCAGTTAGAGTCGCCGGTGAAGCCGTAGACGACGTAGACGGCGCCAATCACCTTCGTCGTAGGGAGCGGGGTCCACCAGTGAGTGAACAACTTGAGACCGCGAGGATTGCTGACGAACTCGGAATCGTGACTCACCGAGTGGCGCAAGTAAAACTCGTCGGCAGTCAAGGAGCCAAATGGACTCTCCTCGTTCACCTCTGCCATCGGATGCTTCATACTAGGGTTCATCTCCGGCGAATGTACATACAGATGAGAAGGGAAAGAGATATAATATGGGGGAGAGTCCAATTTATGGAAGGACTATTGGAGGTATTTACTCGTTTTTTAAGTGATCTGCTTGACAGACTGTATTTGGGGGGAATTAAACAAAAAAACTATTATGCCCCTAAGATTTCACGGCTGAGATGGACAAACTTAACGAAAGGACTATTGGAGGCCAATTTTGAAATTCGCAGGATGACGGAATGTCAAAACGAAAGTTTAGGACCATTGATGGCGGAACCACTAAACTCGAGGGACCTTGACTGGTATTTACTCGTTTGGAGGTATTTACTCAAGGGACCTTGGCTGGTATAATAAGGAGGATAGTCCCATTTACGGAAGGACTATTGGAGGTATTTACTCATTTTTTAAGTGATCTGCTGGACAGACTATATTTGGGTGTGAATTAAACAAAAAGACTATTATACCCCTAAGATTTCATGGTTGAGACGGAAAAACTTAACGGATGGACTATTGGAGGCCAATTTTGAAACTCGGAGGATGATGGAATGTCAAAACGAAAGTTTAGGACCATTGATGGCGGAACCACTAAACTCGAGGGACCTTGGCTGGTATTTACTCATCCACATAATAATGATTGAATATAATGCAAGGGCGTCAAGGCTAGCCGAAGCCGCAGCCCAGCCCTAAACTACCCCGCGATTAGGCGAGTTAGGGTCTAGAATTTTTTTACCAGCGAAAATGCGGGTCTCGTGGGCTTGATCTGCAAGGTTAATAAGACGAAAAGACAAGACAATGACAAAAATAGGAAGGTTTTAAAATATATATATATATAATTTAAGGAAAAACTCATTTGGGACCTGTGTTTCATGTCATAAACGCATCTATCAAATAAGTTTCTTAAAAAAAAAATTAAATTTTTTTTTTAAATTACGCCAAACGCAAGTGTTGTCTCTAGTATAATCATGGTTGAAAAAATCGCTAGGCGTGTAACACCCCCCGATTTTAAGCATAATTTAAAGCAGTTTAAACTTAAGAAGTAAGCCAAATCTAACCATGATGATTTAATTAACGCGGAAGCTAAAGTAAACAGTGTTGGGGTGCTACGCCACATCTAAGTTACGAACTTAGATGCACAGGCCAAAAACATCTATCAACCACAGTATACTATTCATAAGTCAAAGTATAACATAACGGGCTCACAGGCCACCAAAAGAACTAGAGTCTAACAAGGGGAAACTAGGACTAGCTACACGGCTCCAACTAGCGCGCTCTTGGACGTACTACTCTGTACCTGAAAAACATATGTTATTACAACCGTTAGCGAAAATTGCTAAGTAACCACTCAAACGCGTTGGGTACAATATATATATATATATATATATATATATGTGTGTGTGTGTGTGTGTGTGTGTGTGTGTGTGTGTGTGTGTGTGTGTGTGTGTGTGTGTGTGTGTGTGTGTGTGTGTGTGTGTTTTATAAGAAAACCACTTTCGAGACTTGGAATACGTAAGTATAATCTTAGCAACACTAGCTTTTAAAAACTAGAGAGATAGAAACATCATTTGACTCATCGAGAGATACACTCAATCATACCGATCAACATATGGCTAAACAATAGAATCCAATCAAGAGACAATGACTCAATACAAGAGTAATCATCAAAGAGAGGAAATCAACAAACAATCATCAAAAGGTCACATATGAAGATATGCTCATAAGCAAGAGATACAAGAATCATAATTAATGACCAAGTTCCAACCTTATGCCAAGTTCCAACCTCTACACCGTTCCATCCTGTACCTCCCAGTGCCACCCTGTACACCAAGTCCAACCTTATACCATCATGGAGACTTAGCTCCCCGCCAATCTTACCGCCAATCAATTTCCGCCGATCTCATAAATATAAATATAATTCATTATCACGTGATAATATACTGCCGATCTCATTTTGAGCAAAGCTCATTACCACCAATCTCGTAACAATCATAACACATAGTCATCGATACAACAATCAAGGCTCAATCAATAGCCCATTCAAGATAAGTACAACAATTGTACAAGCTCACAACGATAGGTTCAATCGAAGGAATTCAAGAGAAATACGAAGGAGACATTCAAAGGTATTGCCACAATATCGAAGGATTTCCAAATCAAAAGACCACAACGATTGGTGAACACAAGTCACCAATCCTCATTAAGGATAAGCACGACCAATACGAGGAAAACACATACTAGTACCAACGAACAACGTAGCTAGCATGCAATTCAACAAGATAACCATAAAGGCTCATACGAACATCATAGACTTCACATAAATCCAACGAATCACCAAGTTGGATCACAAAACATGATTCAAGACTCACAAGTCCTATCACAGGTACTTAAGACATCGTTCTAGACTTACGAAACATCAATGAAGACACAAAAGTGCACAACGGGTCAACAAAACGGAGGCAAAAAACCAACGTATCAGTGGGCGGCACGGTTGGTGGCAAACCACCCGCCACACAACCCGACACGTACCAACGGGTGGTCAACCACCCGTGGACCGCCCTCCCCCCCCCCTGCCACTACCAACCCCATACCAGCGGGTGGACTGGCAGGTGGCACACTGCCCACCAATGTACCCGTTGGTACCAAACAGAGAGTCCAAATCCCACTTTGGGAAAATTGTCAAAATCCTCAAGTTCAAGTCCAAAACACCTCAAAACTCACATCAATAAATAAAGGAAATTAAACACATAGAATAGCTCATTGAATAGCATTAAAGAACCCTAAATACAAGCTCTAACAAGGCATTTACACAAGAAAAATGTATAGAATCACTCAATAGCATCAAGAAATCATAAATAGCAAGTGTAAATAGATTTTGTAAGACATGGGTTACCTTTGTAGCCTAATCAACACTCCCTCAACTCCTAAGATCCTCCTTGAAGGTCCTCTTCCAAAAGATCTTTCAAACACAAACAAAAAACCCAACAAATACAAGAAGTCTTAGGTAAAGGAGGTGAAAAACTAAGTAATAAAACCAATAAAGCCTAGAACTTACCCTTCCTAAGGTTGTAGATGAGGAAAGGTGGAAACTTGGTGGCCTTCAAGGTAGAGAAGATGAAAGATTTCTCTTGTTAGGTTGGGAGGGTTTAGGGTAGCTTGGTGTAACACCCCTAATTTTTAAAACATTTAAAGCTTATGAAATAAAGGCGAATCTATCATTAATTACCCAAACAGAGCAGAAACTAAGCATAAGAGTCGGGGTGATATGCCACATTCAAGCTTGAGAACTTAGATGCACAGGCTAACTAACTAAACCGAACATAATTCAAGTTCAATATCCAAAATACAAGTCAAGGCACGCAGGCCATCTTCCAAGGCTAAAACTATCTAAGCTAAGTCCTTGCATCCATCTAGCGCACTCCGAAGCTACTGATCTGCACCTGAAAAACATATGGTGTAACAACCGTTAGCGAATAATGCTGAGTAACCCACTCTCACCCGTTGAATACAATAAGTAATAGTTTAGGAAATCCTTTTGAGACTGAAATACATATATAATCCTAAACAACGCTAACTTTAAAACTAAGATCAAAACTCAAGATACAACAACAAGTTGACTTCATAAAGATACTACCATGCATCCTAAGCTCGCACGATAAGATAATAACAAAGCTTAATAATAACAAACAACGGCAACAATGAGGTTCAACAACAATCCATAACATCAAGCAGTCAATAGAGAGTACATCCATGATCCAACCTTATACCAAGTTCCAACCTTTACTCCTCTCCATCCTTATATCAGTTCCAACCTGTACCTCCAGGCCACCCTTATAACGCCTCCCTTATCCCTCCGGAGCATGCATGCTCCCCACCGACATACCACCAACATGGTAGCACCGCAGTACCATTCGCATGACCCGTGCCTATAGCACTATAATCAAGGGGTCAGTGCCTATAGCATTGACGTGGCACCACAGCGCTTATAACTTGATCCATGCCTTTAGCAAGAAAACCAAGGGTGGTCTGTGCCTATAACACAATGACCGAGCACTCGTTGTGCTATACCACCAACAAATCCTTTCCACCAATCACATCTCTTTTCTCATCATGGACCAATCAATCACCATAACCAATACACGATGATAACAGCAATCGACAACACTCAATCAACCACAATAAGCAATCCTCAACAACAACAACAATAACCACGGCACACAACTCTTAAAACGGTACTCAAAACATCACACGAGACATCATAAACACCAAACGGGGCACAACGGGGCATGGGGAAACAACAAACAGGGTAAATCAACACCCCGCCCCGCCTGTGCCAGTTGGTGGTGACCACCCGCCGTCCACCCGCCGGCGGGGGTACTGTACCAGCGGGTACACGGTGGGTGGTCGTCCACCCGCTGGTACGATGGACGGTACCCGGCGGGTGGTCAAGTGGGGTTCGTTCCCCCATCGACCCCCCCACTGGTACGGTGGTAATTCGGCATTTTTCCCTTTCAGGAAATTCATCAGTTAAACCCAAAACCAAGTCCAAACACATCCCAACATATATCAATAACAACATGGACTCGAACAACAAGAATTAAACCAAGAAACACCACAATTATACCCTAAACACAATTCCTAAACATGTCAAGACTCGAGATTATACACAAAATGGTCCAAGAGCATTAAGAACCTCAATATCATCAAGGAATCTATATGCAAAGCCCTAAGAACAAGCCCTAACCTTGAATCAACACCCGAGCATGCTTAAACCCACCCAAGAACACCAAGAACATCACAACAACAAGATTTACAATATCAACCCTAAGGACGAACTCTAAACATAATTAAATACAGGAACATACCAAGACCACATAGGGCCATCAAGAATATCAAGAATAACAATAATCCATACCACAGATTCCTATAGACAAGCTCTAACAAAGCACAAATACAAAACCATACATTCAATCATTCAACGGAGCCAATCAATAAAAGATAGCAAGGAAAATAGGTTTTGTAAGACATGTGTTACCTCTTAGCCTATATCAATTTTCCCTTGGCTACTAAGGTCCTTCTCTAAGATTCTCATTTGATTGATCTTCCTAGGCTCGGTGGTGGGGAATCCCTTTTGTTACGATTCTTTGGGGAATTTCGTGTAATAGAGTTATGAGAGGTGAGAGGGTTCTAATTGCTTCCTAATCCCCTATTTATAGAGTTAGGGAATCCTAATTAGAGTCTGGGTGGTAGAAGGTCAACTCTCCTTGTTCTTATCCAGCTTAAAGTCTTTAATATAGGCAAGGGTCCACGATCCATTGTGGACCACACTAATTAATTAAGGGAATCCTAACCAAATTAAATCCTTTTTAACCATTTGTTAACGGGATTACTTTAATAATTAATCCGGGTTTGAAGGCCGTAACACGGGGTGTTAGACTTGGAGAGAAAGCTAGAGTGTAGAGAGAAAGGTGTTTCTTGTTTAAGTGAGGAATGCTAAGGTGGGAGTCTGGGGAAATGTCTTGGGTTCCAAGTTAGGATTGTGAAAAGACCAAAATGACCTCTTCCTTCCACAAGAAAGTTAGGAGATAATTAAAGGCTAGAGTACAAGCAATAAAGCACCAAGTCTTCCCATTGACTAAATTAAAAAAGCCAAGGACTTAGTCAAATTAGGTCCCTCAACTATGCTAAAAGGGAATTAAGGAGGAATTGCAAAGCAATTAGGATTTAATTAAGTAATTAAATTCGGATTTAAGGAATTAATTTCCGGGGTGTCACAAGGCGCCCTAGTATTTTTAATTTTATTTTTTATTTTTTAAAAGAGTTAATTCCTAAAATGGTCCTTCGACTATGACATTTTCTCAAATTGGTTCATTGACTTTTAATTGCACCCAAAGTGATCCTTTGACTATTGAATTTTAAGTCAAAATGGTCACCCATTAGCTTTGGTGTTAAGTGGGTGTTAAAATGAAGGGCAAAAGGGACAATTTATATTGTTTGTTGTTTAGACCTTTAACCGCCCATTTAAAAAAAAAAAAAACAAAAACAAAACAAAAAACTTACCAACCAATTCTTTCCTAGTGAAACAATTACTCCTAATCCCCAAATCTATCTATACTTCTATACTATTAACTAATATTGTACCCGTGCGATGCACAGTCTATAAATAAAATTTTAATTTACGGTGTTATTGTTATAAACAAAAAAGTAATGGATATATGATAATAATAAACTATACATATATCACAATAATAATAAGTCCAAAAATTGTAATTGTATTTACAAATTATTAAGAACTTCATGGTAATCGAATTAGGCGTAGAAGTACAACTGTTATTAAGATCATTACAAATTAAAAATTTTAAACCCTTAGGATTGCTAACCCTAGACACAAGCAACATACAATTGGCCATGTACAAAAACGGTTTCTTCGATAGCAACCCAACATGAATAGTGTTTGACCTTGGAGGAGCCGTCATTGGCGGTAACTTAATCTTTCCCTGGGCGCAACATGCTGAATATTTAGGTGACCTACACACTATTGATTTATTAACCCTTTCCTCATACCAAAAAATGGCATTGCAATGCTCGTAGGTATATTCCGGGTCACCTAAGTCTGCATATTGTAAAAAAAAACCTCATACTAATTGAATCAAGAATACTATAAACATACAAAAGTATAGTCGAACACTAACAATTATTATTATTTGCTTCCATTTTGATTGGTTGCGAAACATCATCAAAATCAGGAGTTAGATTTCTAGGATTGAATGCTGATTGTTTACCAACTTCCATATCGCAATCAATTGGAGTTTTAGACGTCTTACTGGAAATCCCTATTTGTTCATATATGGTATTAAAACGTGTAAATATATATTAATAATTTATTATAAATGCTTAAAAAATAGGTTAGAAAACAATTAAAAAGTATACATAATTGATTACATATGTTTTTTTTTTTGAGCAAAACATCGAAACTTTCATTCCTGGGTTAAAACATTCTCAATACAAATAGGTGGGATACCATACCACACCCCGGAGTCAGACAAAGAAACGGTCACCCGAGCTAACGCATGAGCCACACGATTCGCTGATCTCTTCACATGGGATACTTTCACCGATCCCATGTCCCTAGCAATCGACACACATTGCTTCACAACTAGGCCAACATACGAAAAATCAGAAATAACAGAATTAAAAGCAGTACAAAAGTTTAAACAATCAGACTCTAAAATAATGACACTATGATCCTGAGCTTTGAGCCACGTTAGAGCTTCCCTTACACCAATTGCTTCAGCCATATAGGGATCGTCCACGTCATTCAACCAACCACTCTTCGCCGCAATGAATCGCCTCCCATGGTCCCGAACAACGATGCCAAAGCTAGCGCCTGCCCCGAACACCGCTGCATCAACATTACATTTAATGGCATTGCTTGGAGGTGGGACCCAGCTTTTATTGATTGAAACGGTAGAGTCAGAAAGAGTTTTAATGTATACCTCCTTCCAACTTTCCAGCAGCCTTGCAACCTATTCTCGAACTTCAGGGCCCGGTGGTTGTTTACCTTTCCACACTACATCATTTCGTGTGGACCAAACAATCCAGAGAACTGCAGCCGCATGCATGACGACATCCACCGTCGCGTTACCAATCACAGTCGAAAGAAATTCGAAGAAGTTACGGCCCTGTAGAACATTCTTACTGCCCTAGACAGTCTCAGCAAACACACAGCGAGAAAAAAGATGCTCCTGTGATTCAGTTGGGTAACTACATAGTGGGCAACCACCACCAATCCACACCATCTTTATCCGCAAGTTGTCTCGAACAGGTAAGATATTTAGTGCGCACCGCCAAAGAAAGTTTTTCACCTTCGGGGGGATCGGCGCTGACCAGAGAGCATTCCACGCTTGAAAGCCATCGGCGGTATTCTGTGAACTCGCCTCCTCCGTAAGACGCCGATAACCATTTTTGACAGTATAGCAACCACGTACATCGCCCACCCAACGCCAACTATCTCGAAATTGGCTGCTCACCGGAGTCGCCAAAATCTTGGGCACATCCTCCTCCAAAAATATATCCCTAAGGATACTTAAATCCCACTGTCCCTGACCGTCCAACAGTCCGTGCACCCTCGCGTCTTGCAAATACTCCACACAAGGAGTGCGTAAGTTTACATGCGAGTCGCCCGCTAACCAACCCCTACCCCAAATTTTCGTATCCATCCCATCCCCAACACGCCTAGTGACTCCCAAATCTAAAACTTTCCGCCCCGCATGGATGCTGCGCCATATAAAACTCGGATTACACCCCAACTGTGCGTCCATGAAATCCTTCGTGGGAAAATAGCGTGCTTTTAACAAACGACTGACTAAGGACTCGGGATTGATTAATATCCTCCATCCTTGTTTAGCCAGAAGTGCCATGGTGAATTCATGTAGTTTTTTAAAGCCTAGCCCGCCCCTCGACTTGGGAATGCACATTCTTCCCCAGCTAAGCCAATGTATCCCTCGTCTGTCTTGTCCTCCCCCGCCCCACCAGAAGCGGTTGTACAATTTTTCCAATGTGTCGCAGACTCGCATCGGGAGTAGGAACACTGACATGGTGAAAATTGGTAAGGCTTGTGCTATGCTCTTAAGTAGGACCTCCTTACCAGCACGAGAAAGAAGTTTATTCTGCCACATCCCAATCCGTGCACGAACATTGCTTTCGATGTAACGAAACACTGCTGTTTTGTTACGTCCCAACATCGACGGCAGCCCCAAATAACGTCCTAGATCTGCCGCTTCGGGAACCCCAATGAGTTCAGACACTACCGCCCGGACATGAGAGGGAGTGTTTGAGCTGTACACTGCACTAGATTTCTCGAAATTGATAAGCTGTCCCGAGGCCCGGCTATACACATCCAAACACTCTTTAACTTTAAGTGCTTCTCGTTCACTTGCCTTGAAAAAAAGCAAGCTGTCATCAGCGAAAAATAAGTGAGTGATGGCCGGAGCCCCCCGGGCCACCCTCACACCATGAATATCCCTGCAAGCCTCCGCCATTTGCAGGAGAGTAGAAAAACCCTCAGCACAAATGATGAAAAGATACGGTGACAGCGGGTCACCATGACGAATGCCCCGAGTGGGACGAACTTGTCCTGCCACCTCCCCGTTTACCAAGATCGAATAGCTCACTGAATTGACACAGAGCATTAATAAATTCACCCAGTCACCCCCAAACCCCAAGGCCCTCAACATTCCCTCCAGGAAGGGTCATTCCATTCTATCGTATGCCTTGGCCATGTCTAATTTAAGGGCAGCCCATCCCTGGACTCCACCAGACTTTCTCCGTAAATAATGTCCTATTTCTCCAGCCACTATGATGTTATCAGTGAGCAAACCGCTAGGGACAAAAGCACTCTGCGATTAAGAGACCACCTGATCCAGGCAGCCTTTCAATCTATTGGCAAGCATCTTTGCCAGCACTTTGTATACAACGTTACAAAGTGCAATAGGGCGAAGATCCGACACTTTCTCCGGCACGGATTTCTTAGGGATCAAAACAACATTGGAAGCATTTAACCCCGGTGGAAACTGTTTACTTTCTGCACAATTAATGATGAAGACAAACAAGTCATGACCCAGGATGGGCCAGAAATGCTGGAAGAATGCCAGGGACATACTGTCCGGGCCCGGTGCCTTTTCTGGTTTCATATCAAACAGAGCTGTCTTGACATCATCAAAGGTGAAAGGTTGTGACAAGGAGATTCTCATCTCGGGTGTCACCCTCTCACGTACCCGACCAAACAAATTGGCATCACAAGTGCCCGCACAAAAAATGTGTTCATAGTACCTGAGAATCACAACTTTCATCTCCGCCCCCTCAGTCCAGCTACCATTATGATCTTTGACTCGGGATAGAAGGTTTTGTTTACGCCGAGCCGTAGCCGTTTTGTGGAAGTACTTTGTGTTCGCATCGCCATCTTCAACCAGAGTTGTTTAGATCTCTGTTTCCAGAAGACTTCCTCAGCTTGCATGATGGCCCCCAACTCATTGTACAGTTACATATGTTTGAACCATAAATTATGTACATATTAGGTTTTTGTTCGAGAGATTTATGGCAGAACGAATACATCGCTGATTCTTGGACGCAACGGTTTGTATATGAGATCCACGTATTTCATTTGTGGTGTATGTGATTAATTAACAATCCTTTCATATATACCATAAAATGTATTCATATAACATATATATAGTTCACCCAAATTAAAATAGTTATGATGTTTGTACTTCCAAGTCAATACATACGTACAATTTATAATATCACTCAAATGGATAGTTGAATTAGTTGGTAACGGTGAATCGTTTTTCAATAAGTGACTCTTCATTAGATTTCTTTCACTACCTGCATGAAAGAACATTATAACTTAGTGCCACGTTGAAATATATTTTTAGTATTGAATAAACTTCAAGAAATGGTACTACAAAAAACAATAAATTCTATGATAACCAATTGTATTATACAGGGTGTACGTGAAAAGTCTGTATGTTTTCCAAAGTACAATGCGACTGCGTGTTACTTGAAGATGAACCCAACCCATTTGACCCGCATTCTTAATTTAAGATCATATTAAACTCCCATCTTGCATACAAAATTCAACACACATTATAAAACTACTACACGGGTAAAAAGTAATAAAAAATGTAGTCAATAGTTGACACTTACTATTATATAGTATGCGTAGAGGGTATCCAACATTTCCTTGAAATATATCATACATAGAATTTTGAGTTGTAGTAAAATGTAAACAAACCGTCTCTTGTGTGAAATTTTCTTTGTATAATATGCATTAACCACAATGTTACTGTACTTAGTCTACCATACATATAATTATATCTTAAATTAAATGAACAATATATCTAGCTATATTAAGATAATTAAACAAAAATTACTTTAAAACATTACATATAAATATATTATTGTGTCATTTAAAAAAAAAAAGCATAACTACTGTAAACCAAGACCTTTGGGGTTTCAATTCTAATAAGTATGCTATATTGTTCATAACTCAGGTATTTGATGCTTTATTCGCAATATAACTACTGTAAACTAAATATAATTTTTAATTTGCCTGGAAATTACATAATTCTTTATCTGTTATTCGGTCATGGTAGAAGGACTTCAGTTGTATGTATTAGCTACCTTAGAAATTCGCTCTCTGTATCTATTTGTTTACCAAAAACATTTCAACTTAGTGCTTCTTTTCATTCTCCACAGAAATATCTGACAAATGCAACATAGTTTCCAAATAGTTTTTTTAAACATTTGGTCTAACTTCTCCATCTTCACATGGCCATCCTGAATCTTTTTAGAACTTTGGGTAGAAGAAAATTCATCAAGCAAAGACCTTTTAACAGCACCACATTCTTGTGCATCACATATCTCAATGGGGACTGTAATGGGTCCCTACAAATTGCAAACACAGTTCTGATAAATCATTATTGGTTTACAGAATCCTGTCATATAGGAGAGTAAACTGGTATAGACGTGTTTTACCTTCGAAATCTTAGACCTCAGCTCTAGTGCAGCTAGCAGTGCCTAATAACTTCTGACATTCTCTATCCCACCAAATTTCTCAAGAAAATCTTTATGAACGTTTGCATGAACGAAGGACAGTGCCATGTGAATGATGAATATTTACAGAAAATGTATATACTCTACTATAGCACACACTGCACATACCCCCTTATCATGGAAAACACACTTGATGTTGTTCGCTCCTCTTCTCTCTCAAGAACATCATATGTACGTACCAGCCGAACTTTGATAGCATTTGTGGTCTTCATTGGAGCTATGTCGCGACTCAGAACTTATAACAGAGAATCGGATATCTGAAGGGTCACGATGAGTTCTCTGGCAGTCGTTTGAAGAGAGAAAAATTGCTTTGGCAGAGGCAACTATAAATGGCTTATATATATACAAACCTAATATATATATATATATATATATATATATATATATATATATATATATATATATATATATGGCTGAGTTCAAATGAGGACAACGATATATAAAGGACTGTGAGGACAAATAATGGCCACACAACAAATTAATACCAGACACACAACTTAATACATAATGGCACACAAGAATAAATGTAAATATCAGGTTTCGAACCCAGGCTCTATAAATTAAAAAATCTAGCACGCGACATACAAACTGTGGCACACGACTACATTCGGCCATGCACACAACATACCGGTTAATGGCACACACTACATCTGTCCTCACAGTTCTCTATAATATACTTGTCCTCATTTGAATATATATATATATATATATATATATATATATATATATACAAATCTAATGACGCTTGGGAACCAATTAAACCACGCAAAACGAAAGATATACTCTAGAGCTTAAATGAATAGTCAGATCTGTATAATTTATTGCATTACCATTAATACATTTTGGAAACACAATCTTTTCAGATTATATCTCTTGTAAACTAGTTTGGATGATGACGGCTAATAGTTTAAGATACCATAGTCGGCTAGAACTATTAATGACATTCATAACATTAAAAAACTAAAAATAATTTGCGTATCCAACCTTTGGTAAGCAATCAGTAAACCAATTCATAAACCATACGTGTGAAACGGCTGCGTTTTGATTGAGTGGGAAATTTTGGCTTATTTGGGGTTCCCTACGCTTGTAATTTTTTTATATAGTAAGACAAAAGTAAAATCCTCCTCTTTAACTTTCCCGTCCAAACTAATATGAATATTAATTAATTGGTAAAAAAATTAATAAAGCTTAATTGGTAACAAAATTTTATATGGAAATTAACTAATCCTCCTCATTAGATACTAGTTAATTTCCATATAAAATTTTGTTACCAATCAAGCTTTTTAAATTTTTTTTACCAATTAATTAATATTCATATTAGTTTGGGCGGAAAAGTTGAAGATGATGATTTTACTTTTATTAATAGTATAAAAGTATAGATTTGGAGATTTGGGGTAATTGTTTCGCTGGGAATAAATGGCTGGTCAAGTTAAAAAAAAAAAATTATCAAATTGGCCCCCTAAGTCGAGTGGATATTACAATTGGGGGGTCTCCTAAGTGAAAAAAACTTCATTCAAGTATCCTAAATTGGTAAAATTGTTCAATTAAGTCCAATTTGACTTGTTTATCAGGTTAAATCGATATGATGTTGACACGTGTCCTTCTTATTTTATTTTTTAAAATAAATGTTTTTTATTAATTAAAAATATTATTTATTATAAATTAATTAATTAATTAAAATAATAACAATCTAATCTAATCTAATCTAATCTAATCTAATCTATAATAAAGCAAGAAGTTTTTGGCAAAAAATTTTCCCGCCCAATTGATACTACATCATTTTGGGGATAGAATATCAGGTTAAATTAAATGGTTTAATTAATTGCTTTTCGTCATTAATTGTTTTTATAAATAGTTTGGTTGCTTTTTTGTATTACCTATGCATCTATCAGTGCGCTAACTAAATGCCTTTGAAACTTCCTATGAAATCGGTTAAACCGAAGTGTTGCATACTTTAATTACAAATTTGAAGTGATTGAAATCTAATTGGAGACATCCTATTGAAAGGTCTTTTTGTTTCAAAAACCTCTTCGTTGTTCTGTAAAAGTCCTGAATAAATTCAACCTCTATATAAAGAGGTAGAATCAGTTAAAATTCAATCACAGGTTATTGCGAAGAAGTAAATCTCTGTACAAAGAAATATGTCTTCTCAATACGTTTCTGTCAAGCAAATCAGTCCAATGGTGGAGCTGAGGAGGAAGAGCTTAGGAGGAAGTTGGGAAAGCATGTATTCACGAGGAGGAAGAACACAGCTACTTGAAGGTTAAGATGTGTTGATGTATGCATTTTTATTTGCTGAACAATCATCTGTCTACTTCTTGCTACGCACAACTGTGATATATAAAAATACAAAATGTAGAAATACAAAATATAGAAATAAAAAATATATATGTAATATATTGTCTTTGTTCATTCTATATGCTGCCATAATCTATACAATATTTATTTGTATTTTTATCATATAATCATATATATAACAAAGATGTAATATATAATTTCATGGATTATTGAAGAGGATGGAGATGGTTACTCTGATTAACAGTCCAAAACTTTCCAGAACACTTTAATATGAATTCTATTGCTATATTTATTTTCACTAACTCTATTTCTGTATTCTAAATTC